TTCGTCCGAAAATAAAAATTACCGAAGTGTTAAAAATGGTCCCTAATACCCTCCACGAGTCCTATTGTGTTGGTGGAACTATCCTATATGCCTTTAAACGATCTATTTAATTATTACCGGTTTACAACTTGCACCGATTTCATTAACTTAAGCTTACCACAAACATTTATGACAGCAAATAATGATCATATATGGTTCTAAATAGTATTATATGACCCCGAGATGTATCCTCTAAAATTTCAAAACTTTTCAACGCTGGCCCCTGAAACCTCTTAAATTTCTCAAAAAAACGTAGATATTGTCTTCAATTTTGGAATTTTTTGACTTTTTTTTGCCCGAAATTAAAAATTGTCGAAATGTTTACCATGGTCGCTAATACCGTCCGGGAGTCCCATTGGGTGGGTGGAACATTCCAATTTATCTTTAAACGACCAATTTATCAGTTTACAACTTGCACTGATTTCATTAACTCAAGCCTACCACAAACATTAATGACAGCAAATAATGATCATTTATGGTTCCATACAACATTATATGACCTCGAGATTTTTCCCTTAAAATTTCAAAACTTTTCGACACCGGGTCACGAAACCTCCAAAATTTCTCAAAAAGCGTGGATATTAGTCTTCAATTTTGGAATTTTTTGACGTTTTTTCGCCCGGAATTAAAAATTGCCTAAATGTTTACCATGGTCCCTAATACCCTTCAAGAGTCCAATTGGGTGGATGGTAGCATCCAATTTGCCTCAAAACAACGTATTTCCCAGTTTATAACTTGCACCGAATTCATTAACTTAAACCTACCACGAAAATTTATGACAACAAATAGTGATCATATATGTTTCAAAACGGCAATAAATGATCTCGAGATGTATCGCCTGGAATTTCAAGACTTTTCGACACGGCCCCTGAAACTTCCAAAGTTTCTCAAATAACGTGATTATTAGTCTTCAATTTTGGAATTTTTTGACTTTTTTTCGCCCGGAAATAAAAGTTACCGAAATGTTTACCATGCTCCCTATTACCCTCCGATAGTCCAATTGAGTTGGTGGAACCATCCAATTTTCCTTAAAACAACCAATTTACCGGTTTAAACTTGCACCGATTTCATTAACTTAACCTACCATGAACATTTATGACAACAAATAGTGATCATATATGTTTCCAAACGGCATTAAATGACCCCGAGATGTATTGCCTGGAATTTCAATGCTTTTCGACACCGGCCCCTGAAACCTCCAAAATTTCTCAGAAAGCGTGTATTAGTCTTCAATTTTGGAATTTTTTGACTTTTTTCGCCCAAAAATAAAAGTTGCCGAAATGTTTATCATGGTCCCTAATACCCTCCGGGAGTCCAATTGGGTTGGTGGAACCATTTAATTTGCCTTTAAACGACCAATTTAATTACCGGTTTAAACTTGCACCGACTTCATTAACTTAATCTTACCACGAACATTTATGACAACAAATAATGATCATATATGATTCTAAATAGTATTATATGACCCTAGATGTATCGCCTAAAATTTCAAGATTTTTCGACACCGGGCCCGAATCCTCCAAAATTTCTCAAAAAGCGTGGATATTAGCCTTTAATTTTAAAATTTTGACTTTTTTTTTGCTCGAAAATAAATATTACCGAAATGCTTACCATGGTCCATAATACCGTTCGAGAGTCCCATTGGGTGGATGGAACATTCCAATTTATCTTTAAACGACCAATTTACCGGTTTAAACTTGCACCGATTTTATTAGCTCAAGCCTACCACAAACATTTATGACAGCAAATAATAATCATATATGGTTCCAAACAGCATTATATGACCCCCAAGATGTTTCCCCTAAAATTTCAAGACTTTTCGACATCGGGCCCCGAAACCTACAAAATTTCTCAAAAAACTTGGATATTAGTCATCAATTTTGGAATTTTTTGATTTTTTTTCACCCGAAAATAAAAATTGCCGAAATATTTACCATGGTCCCTAATACCCTTCGAGAGTCCAACTGGGTGGATGGAATCATCAAATTTGCCTTAAAACGGCCTAATTACCGGTTTATAACTTGCACCGATTACATTAATAACTCAAGCCTACCACGAACATTTATGACAACAAATAGTGATCATATATGTTTCCAAACGGTATTATATGACCCCGAGATGTATCGCCTGGAATTTCCAGACTTTTCGACACCGGCCTTTGAAACTTCCAAAATTTACGAAAAAGCATGGATATTAGTCTTCAATTTTGGAATTTTTTGACTTTTTTTTTCACTCGAAAATAAAATTCGACGAAATTTTTACCATGGTCCCTAATATCCTCCGTGAGTCCGATTGGGTTGGTGGAACCATCCAATTTGCCTTTAACACAGCCAATTTAATTATCGGTTTACAACTTGCACCGATTTCATTAACTTAAGCTTACCATGAACATTTATGACAGCAAATAATGATCATATATGTTTCTAAATATTATTATATGACTCCGATATGTATCGTCTAAAATTTCAAGACTTTTCGACACCGACCCTTGAAACCTCCAAAATTTCTCAAAAAGTGTAGATATTAGTCTTCAATTTTGGAATTTTTTGACTTTTTTTCGCCCGAAAATAAAAATTGCCGAAATATTTATCTTGGTCTCTAATAGCCTCCGGAAGTCCAATTGGGTTGGTGGAACCATCCAATTTGCCTTTAAACGACCAATTTAATTACTAGTTTACTACTTGCACCGATGTTATTAACTCAAGCCTACCACGAACATTTAAGACAACAAATAATGATCATATATGGTTCCAAACTTCATTATATGACCCCGAGACGTATCTCCTTAAATTTCAAGAATTTTCAACATCGGGCTCCGAAACCTCCAAAATTTCTCAAAAAGCGTGGATATTAGTTTTCAATTTTTAAATTTTTTGACTTTTTTTTCTCCCAGAAATAACATTTGCTGAAATGTTTATCATGGTCCTTAATACCCTCCGGGTGTCCAAATGGGTTGGTGGAAACATCCAATTTGCCTTTAAATGGCCAATTAAATTACCGGTTTACAACTTGCACGGATTTCATTAACTCGAGCCTACTACGAACATTGATGACAACATATAATGATCATATATGGTTCCATACGTCATTTATGTGACCCCGAGATGTATCTCCTAAAATATTAATACTTTTTTGCACTGGGCCCCGAAACCTCCAAAATTTCTCTAAAAACGTGGATATTAGCCTTGAATTTTGGAATTTTTTTTTACTTTTTTTCGCCCGGAAATAATAAATTGCCAAAATGTTTCCATGGTCCCTAATACACTCCGGGAGTCCAATTGGGTGTGTGGAACAATTCCATTTGCTTTTAAACAGCCAATTTACCGGTTTATAATTTGAAATGATTTACCGGTTTACAAAGGCCAATTTAATCAATTTGCACTGAACCTGACTTGAACCGAAATTGACCCAAACCCGTTTTAACCCGTCAAAACACGAATTTAATCCGACTTGTTACTAACCTGACCTGAATTCAACCCGACCCGTTTATAACTTGACTAGAATTTAACCCAACATGTTACAAACCCGACCCGAAATCAACCTGACTTGTTATTGACCTGACCCGAATTTTACCATACCTATTACTTATCCAACCCAAAAATTCAACTCGATCTATTACTAACCCGACCTTAAATTAACACGAATTGTTATTGAGCCGACCTAAATTCAACCCAAATTGTTTCTGACCCGATTTCAAATCACCTTAAATGCAATTTAGACCACCTTATTATTGTTGATTAAAGCATTTTGTCTTGGGAGACCAAAATGTTCCAGGTTAGCAAAAGAAAGGAGCATCATCGTCAAATTTAAGAGTTAAATATAGTATATATTTGTTGTATGGTCAAAGGAGATAATTATCCTCCTAAATTATAGACTATAGTTCCCTAGTATATTGACATATATATTATAGTCAAAGGAAATAATTAGCTTGATAAAAATGATAATTATCTATTTATAGATAGTTGATCCCGAATATGGCCTGACTTCTTAATTACCTGACCTGATTGTAACCTGCAAATTATTGACTTGAACATAACCCAACTTGAATCCGATAATGACCCAACCTGATTATAATTCGCAAATTATTTACTTGAATTGAACCTGACTTGAACCCGAGAATGACCCGACATGAAAATGACTCGACCTGATTATAACCCGCAAATTATTGACTTGAACCGAACCCGACTCAAACCTGAGAACGACCCAACGTGATTCTAACCCGTAAATTATTGACTTGAACTGAACCCAAGAATTACTCTAACTCGTTTTAACCCATGAAAACCCGACCTATTGTTTACCCGACCCAAATGTAACCCGGCCTAAACCCGACAAGAAGTATGACTCGACGTGACTTGGCTCAAGCATGACCCAACCCAAAGCCGACCCGCATAGGTTATGGAATTAATCTGAATTGACCCGACCCGACCCGAGTTGACCCGACCCGAACCCCGCCCGTTTACCCAAATTGATAGCTCTAAGAGTAGTCCTTCCGAAAAGCTATGCTTCAACATGTTCGAAAACAATTCTTCACTAATGATTTGCCATAATACAAAATGTTCGATTAAACCCTGAGAGTTAAGATTACCCTGTGGAAGAGAAAAAGAGTCGGCTCCTTAAACATTTTTTTAATAGACAACGGCCAATCACAACATCTACATTGCTAAGGGTCTGTTCTCATACGTTTATTTTCAGTCCAGTTCAGTTCAGTTCAATTCAATTCAGTTCAGTTTAGCTCCTAATTTTCTTCTCTAATAAAATATTCATTTTAATTCAGGTCAGTTCAACTTATTTCAATCTATTAGAACATGCCCTAACTCTATGTCTACTGAACATAGCATAAGAGTTGCATCTGAAGACACCATTAATACAATAATAGCTTGTATTGAAATTTACTGAACTTCTAATACTCTCAAAAATAATAATGAAATTCAAAGGACTGGAATTTCAAACAACCAAAGGCATTTTCACATCAAAATGGATACATGCAGTTTCCAAACTTCTTTAAAAATCTTTACCAAGCATATATTTTCTACAAAAGAAATCTTCAGAAAATACCACACAATTTCCGTTACAAAACAAATTCAGGGAAAGACAACTTCGTCGAAAAAAAAAAAAAAAAAAACTTCGTCGACAAAAACCCATTGCAGAGCCAAGTATACCAAAATAAATTCACTAACCTAAAGAAAAAAATTAAATAATAAACGGATAGCCTGATACGTATATACAAGCATCTTGAAGAAACTACAACGCCTACAAAACCCTACATATACCAACAATTCTTAGCAAAAGTCTTGTTGAAACAGCTATTACCTACAAAACCAAACGAGCAAAAAGTTGGGAGCTCGTATTTAACCTCTTGCCAACCGTACATCCAAGGGGTTCAATTGCCCAGTAGAGGAGGAACCATCTCGTTGCAGTAGTTTCTTTACCGTTCTTCTATCTTGGTTCTGGGCACTGTCTAACATATTGTTATCCTTAGATGTTGCTTGCTGTAGATGGAGTAGTGCAACCATGCTTAAGGCAAATAAAGCAGCATTCCCTAAAACTCCACCTAATTTGTCCAGCTGAAGTGTTCTTTTAGCAGAATCTAGTCCAGAGAACAAAAATCTTACAAAAATGTTTGAGCTGACACCTTTTTTCTGCAATGAATGTTCAGCAGGTGCACTTGCAGGAGGATTCGAGAAATTATCAGGACCGACAAAGCATGTCGCATCTCTAACATTTCCCACAAAATCCATAGCCTCATCTATTACCTTGTATCTTTTCCCATGGTGTTCAGCCAATCTCAATGCAAGAACAATTCGGCTTTGCTCTAATCGTGCAAGTGCTGCATCCCTTTCTGCACGCTGCTGGATTTGCACAGTCTGACAGTATAAACATACAAAATAGAAAAGCTTAGTCCCAATAAGATCAATAACAACCAGATAAAGAGCAGACAAATCACACAACCAAATAGAAGCATAGAACAAGATGGCACTGATACCGATACCCCATTTAGAATATCTAATCAACCATAGGTTCGTTGGGTCGGGGAAGAGGTGGGTAGGGGGATTTCTAAGGCCGCAGTGCAACACAGCCAACATTAGCACTTGCTGATTAACAATTACATTGAAATGGGCTTAAGCCCAAATAAACTAAGTGAAACCATCACAGCATACGAATAAAAAAACTGCCAGTGAAGGGCAAAGTTAAAAATTCCCATTTGAAACTTTCTTCTCTAAGAGGTAGGACACACAAATTATAGTCTAGGAGATGAATTTAAATTTTCAGAGAAAACTTTTACTTGTAGATACAATACCAATACCTGCCACTTTTTTCTCTTTTCCCAATCTTTTGTGCAAACAGGAAAGGTCTCGATTTCTCTTTGACCCTGTAATCATGTGAAAGCCTGTTTCAGCTGGGTTTGAATGCATAATAGGGCAACATTGAGTTTAACAATATAGCTTCCAACTTCAAACATGATCTCTCCATCATCTAACTGCAAAAGTTCTTCAGGAATTCTCCAAAAATCCTTAGTTAAGTTATTCCAAAATTACTATGTGGTTGCAATATATAAATTTCACTGATTATCACCCAACCAATACCTTGGTAAGTAATCCACCATGCACTACCTTTCCATCAAATCCTCTGGGAGAAACAAAAAGGTTCTAATTCCTCATACTTCGTATATGTTTACATCTAGTACTCCCTGCTGCTTGTCTACCCTCCTAAATAAATAAATAGGCTATAGCTCTCACATAGTCGAATTCACACATATCTTAACGAGTATGTAGTAATTTGAGGTTTTGCATCAGAGTCTCAGAATGACACAAGAAATTGAATGACAGAAAAGTGGGTAATGCAGGACAAAAACCTCCAAAGAAAGAATGATGCAACTGTTATTCTACATCCTTCAGTTGTACATTATCCACAATAGTTTATAGCAGAACAAGTGAATAAAGTTACTAATTTACTATGAATGTAGAAGGAACTAAGGAAGCAAAACGCGTAGGAACTCCTTATCCATATAATTATAAAGAGTATTTCCAGGTAACTCATAATGTGATACACAATAACCATCATGCTCTTCCAAAATAAATAAGAAATGTACAGTTTCAAGAGCAACTGTAGTTAAGTCTATTAATGTGATATTCCCATCAAGCTCCTCACTACCCCTCAAGGAACATATTGAAATATACAAAATACAAAAGAAGAGCTCTCGCGTAAATTAATGTGAATAAACAAGAAAGTTACCCCCATCTTTGCTACCAACAGTCGTCTTCCAAACCCTCAAAATCAATGAAATTAATTTTTTTTTTTTTTTTAAAAAAAAAAAATCAAAGCAAATCATACCCTCAATCACATTCACTGGGTCGCAGACTTAGCTAAGAAGGAAAAAAGTGGCAACCTTCAAGTCACTTGACTTGCTAGAATAAAGGTAAGACCACAAATATCTGGGATGTCTACAGATCACCAATCTGAGGTAATATAATCATAGCAAATGCTGTAGGTGGTCGAGTTGATGAATCCAACCTACAAACAGCATACTGAACCACAAAAAGCTCTATCAGAAGGCCAACTACAACTCTAGGATACTGTGGACAATCTTCTAACACAAATTGCACTCTTAAAGTGCCAAACCCAAGGAACTTAAAAAAAAGGTATCCAACCAATTCAAGTTATGAGATTGGTATGGAACTTACAGATGTTCAATAGAACATGTCACCAATTACAATTTACAACTCCATCCATCTAGTCACTATCATCCATAATCCATAATCCAAAATCCAAATGCGGGTATAAAAATTACACAATAAGCATACTTGAAAATGTAGAAGCTAATATACGTATACACCTAAACCCCACTTGATTAGTCCTAATAACCAAACTCAAGCAGCATATACAAAAAATGTAATATACACTACTCATACTTTCTATTCATTGTAGCAAAGAGGGATTTAGTGGAAAGAGTGTCCATTTTAAATGAAGACAGTTGTTTAAAGATTTGTATTATTAAATACTAGTAGCAAAAGAGAGTAATTTTTGCAATTCAATAGTAGAAAAATCAATTAAGAACACACCTAAATGGAAACGAGGGGAGTACTAATTGACTATCCTCCAATCAATATCTTATTGATTACCTAACAGGATCCAAGAACCACAATCCAGATATGTAATATTATGAGTAAGCGCCAAACCAAATCACCTATCAACTAAACACACAAACAAATAAAAACAATACATTAATTTCACAACAATCATTCAACATACATTAGGGGGTTTTACTTAAAAGAGAAAAAAGACAATCATAACAACCAAATGACAACAGAATCCAGCAATAATTCGGTTGTTACATCACCTGGATTAGATTCATGACATTATAAAAACAATTAAATAGCTCAAAACTGACTAGGCTGTCACAACAATATACAAGTATACAGACAAATAATTCTCCAGGAGAAAAAAAAAAAATCTACATTAATCACAGTCGAAACATTAAGCTCAATTTCTTTAAAAAAAAAACCAACATTAACCAATCGTTAAATCGAAGCCCAGAAAATAAATTTACCCAATTGTTCTGGGTAACCAAAAATTCATCCCAATGGGTAGCCAAAAACCTAGAATCATTATCGGCGTAGGCTTTCTATTCCCTACATTATCCGTTAACCATGTTCTGGGAAAAACATTTCAAACCCTATATATTGATATTACCCACCTTAAAATTTCGACATAATTTCTATAAAATTCATCAATTGACCTTAAAAATCAGAACCCAAGTTCTAATAATACACAAACAAATATCAAACCATCAATCTGGAGCTGAAAATCAACAATAAAGAATTTCTCCTTCATTTTCGCAAACCAATTAAAATTCCCAGAAAACATGAACAAAATAAAAGCAAAAATAGAAAAAAAAAATAACTAACATGGAAGAATTCGAGCTGTTCTTCGAGATTCTCGAGGGCAGAACGGATTGAATTAAGACTCTTAGCCTCAGCAATGGCGCAATTCTTATCAAAATCCTTGAAAAAAACAAACCCATTAGAATTAATATTGTTGTAGTCCTTAAAATCATGATCAAAAAAATGATTGTGAGGCTGAGATTGATGTTTGATGTTATTGTTCTTGAAATTATTTTCATGGGTGTTTGAATTTTTGAGGGATTTAGTGGAATTAGCGAAATGGGTACGAGAAATAGAATGAATTTCATCACTAAGTTTGTCATGTAAATCCCAAATCTTTTCTAAAACAGCTTCAACTTCATCCATTTCAACCTCTCGTTTCATTTTCAGAGTCATGAAATTGGAGGGAAAATCAACAGATTATTTGGTAAATTTTTGGGGGGAAGAAGATTGCTTGTTGTTGGGGGTTAACGAAAAAAGAGAAAAGCAAAAGAGGAGAGAGAAAGCAACCCAGGAAGAATTCTCTCTCTTCCAAGAGAACTGGCAAAGTAGGAGAGAGAAATAATTGGTAAATTGAGTGGAAATGGTAAGCACGTTTGAAATTTGGACAATTTTTTTTGTAATTTTTGAGTAGTGAGTGTTTGAGAAGAGATTGTATGAACATTCTATCTTTACTTTTATTTATATTATGTGGGCTTTTCAAATGTTTTGGCCACTTTTGGCAAAGATGTTGATATAAATTGTGTTTTTGGGTTTTGTCCGAATTATGAAAGGTGGTGGTAGTGTTGTTGTGGGAGGAGTCATTGTTAAGTCATTAATCTCTATATCATTATTGTATTATGGACCCGGTTTCATGGAGAAGGATGGATGGTAGCGGGCGAGTTTACGTATGCACCGATGTAGGGAGCGTGCAGATGTTACTGATGTGAATACCTAGTTTAAAGTTGGGCACGGCCGCACGGGCTACGCTATATAGGTTTAAGTGTGTGTGCTAGCGTGCATCGTGCTTATGCTAGTTATGTTTACAACGGGCTAAGAACTAGTCGTGTCGTTCTGAATGTGGTAGGCTCGGTGACGCTCGGTGTGTATTAGGTCATTTTTATGCGTGGTTAATCGTCCCTTGTGAAATGGTAAGGTACACAACTGTAAAGGTCATCCTACCACAAGTTAAGATCGTAAGACCAATTGAATCTAAAAGTCACCATTTATATTAGCACAATAGATGAGTTGTTTAGAGGTACTTAGTGTTTTAAAGATATACTTGAGAATATTTTTTATAAAATTGTGCATGATTAGTTTTTGACATTTTTGTCTTCTTTGTAAACTATTAAGTGGTTTGAAATGAATAAAAATCAAAAATATCAATATGCACAATGCAAACATATCAAAATTTACAAATACCAAGTACTATCTAATAAAAAAAAATATACCGTTTGTAGAATGGAAAATATAAAACACCAACTAAATATGACATTAGGTCGGGCTAGGCCCATGGTACAGCATGGCACGACATACTCTTTTTTTGGGTTGGGTGAAGCATGACATAGACAAACAATCTTCAAATAAGTTACATTTAGCTTAGGCATGCAAGCATAGCATGAATGCATGACATAACAACATGTGGACTTGGATCGTGCCTTGATTGCCTTCCCTTTTAAAAGATTTGGTGCGTAGTGAGAGAGCTTAATCATGGGCCACGTTTAATTAGCCCCAAAACACTCAGGTCCAGCACGAGACAATAACCAACACGAGCACACAACCCACAACAACACAACATCTTTAATCCCGACTCAAGTCCTCCTCCCCTACGACACACGAAGTTATCAAATCAAATGTGAATCTAACACCATGAACTAATCCTGGCCCCATAGATAACTGTATGTTCGTCTACCACATTTTGTACTTGCTAATATGTACCATCCATAGATAATTGTTTAAACAATTAGTCAATATAATATTGTATTATTTACCAAGCATGTTTAAATGTGAAATATAAAGTATCTTAATGTATAAACTTCTATACCGAAATGCACCCTACAGATATTAAAAAAATAAAAATTAAAAAAAAAATCGAAAAATACAATAACCTTACAATTTTCCAAAAAATTCTTAAAATCGAGTAGCATAATTTTGTCTTTGCATTGCATCGACTAATATGTCACTCATGTGCACAATGTTGTGTAAAATAATAATCTGCACGTTGCAACATAAAGCTAGATGAGGGATGAGGCCTGAGGGCAGCCCATCCACAGCCCTACATACTTGACTAAGTTGAGCATTACCACAAAAGACCCACTGAATTCTTGTTGTTGTCAATTCTCTATGCACCTTATATTTAGCATCTTCTTGATTTCAACCATAAATATTACCGAGTACTTGTATGATCGCTAAAAATAAAGTAACAAAAGGCAATAATTAAGATTTGTTTCGAGCATGTTTTAGCTCCTAAATCCATCTAAAATTATTTTTATTACGGAACTGCTATACTAAATTTCAACATATATTTCGTATTTAAGTGGTCCCATCATCTAAAATCGCGGAATTTTAATTTTTATTATTATTTTTTGGTGTGAATGAGGATCAAACCTGAAAACGAAATTTTAATTTGTGTACTCTATACTATATTTATCATAATTATTATGAAGAATATTAACATGTTTAAAGACATATAGTACATTTATAAATAAAGTTATGATTTTTAAATTGGGTGTAGATTTTTTAACCAAAGAATACAGTACACAATCTCTATTCTATAACCTTCCTCATTTTTTTTTCCTTCCTTGAACAATTAAAAAGTCCCCTTATAATACCTAAATGCCCTTATTTTTAGGCACGCACTCTTTTAAAAATATAATTTTGTCATCAAGCTTATTTATAATAATAATAAGAAAATAAAATAAAATAAAATAAAAAAGTGAAGGATGTGGCCATCCTAGTGATTGCCATTTTAGTAGGATCTCGATTAGATAATTTATAATTAAGCAAAATTTCCTTCTACATTGTCAAAAATTTAACAGATTATAATTACATGGACTAATAACACTAATTACAATTCTTTAAGAAAAAAAAACACTAATTACAACAACTCAAGTGAAAAATAAACAAATTAATCTCAACAACTCAAATCAATTCTTTAATCCATCATTAAAAAATAAATGCCGATTTAATTCTTGAGATCTAAAATTGATTGTTAATACTTGTACGTGTATCTTATTATATTCATAAATAGTACATATTGTGGGTACTATAGAATTCGGCTAGGGATAGTTTTATTATTTTTGAATGCTTAATCCATTAATTTATATTTTCTTTTGGATTTATGAATAATTTCCAAGAGTAATAATACATGCGAATTTTGAGTTGAACATTAGTACAACCCATTAAAAGGATGTTTTTTCTTACCTCTTTTTGGTAATAAAGGGTGGCATTCAAGTAATACTATATGTCTACAAGAATATATTCTGTTTTATGGAAGAAAATGCAAGCTTGATGTTAATTGGTACTATACCACATTATATTCAAATATATAGTACATTTACAATTTAATATATTCGATATGTACCACATGCAATAGTAGTTTTCCCTATATATGGCTCTTTGTATAAAGAAGTAACGCATTAAGATCTTGACATACACTATTGCAATCCAAAATCCAAGAGTAGAACATAAATTTAATGGTTTGCAACCGAGGGGAGAGGAGATCGATAATGTGTGTGCGCATGCGCGTGTGTGTGAACCCGTGAAGGGAGACGGCTTACATGAAAATGAGAGTGATACGTTGAGTAGCCAAGGATGACTTGCCTGCACCTCGGCGTGGTGAGGGTTGTCGTCTATCGATGCTCTCTAAGAGGCTTCAGGCAGTCTCCTTGGCTATCTTAACTGCCTCTCATGTCTCTCATGCTAGCCCTCTCGACCCTTCTTCCTTTCAATGGCCAAATTTTACATCAGTTCGTCTCAAAATTACCTTTAAGGTATCATATACTGTCTCCGATTCTTTTTGTTCTTCCCATTTAGAATCTTGACACTATTTATAAGAGAATATTTTATATTACTCTCAATATAGAAATATATATCATTTCCTTCATTTTTTAGTCGCATCATTTTTCTAAAACGAAAGTTTAATCACAATTAGTTGCATTGATCACTTTTTTTTAACTAATAAATTATCCAAAAACTTTTGTATACATCCGGTTTACACTAATATTAGTGTACATCAAGCAATATAAGGGTAATTTTTAGCTAATTTTAGGGTAACTTTTTGCCTGTTTTTGAGTAACTTTAAGCATAATACAATTTTTATATAAATAGACAACAAGAAAAGTTTTATAAAGGTAATTTAATTACCTTCAATCACTAATAATTGATTTTTAATCATTTAAAATGTGATTCTTTACTAATAAGCGTAGATAATTTTTATTTGTATTGGGCTACTTTTATGCATATTGGGGTAACTTTTATTCATTTCAAGGGTAACTTTTAATCACTTTAGACTATCTTTTTAATGGATGTACAATAATTTATTGTACACCCGATTTTTTTAAAAGTTTGTGTAAATTATCTCTATCTATCTCTTATTGCTACCTCTCTTTCTACTCCAAAATTGTGTAATAGTTCGTGAAAACTAAAATGATTCAACTAAAAAAACGAAGGAAGTAATATCAATATCTCTAGACATTATTCTCTTTCTTAAATAGTTCTCACATTTTCATGTTCTAAATTGCTACAGTAAATGAGAAGATTATAAAAATAAAAATTAAAAAAATATATTAAAAGTAGCCTTTTGCCCTGTTGGAACAAGTGGTGTTTTGGTGTAAATTTTGTGGAAAACAAAAAGTCCCACATTGGTGGGAAATAGAAGTTTGTCCTCCCTTATATTGGAGAATGTGGAGTACTTGGGTGTGGCCCTTGGGCTACCCACATTTTGTGGAGAGGGAGGACTTACCTACCAAGCCCACTTATCACGCGCGTCGAACCGAGCCGAGCCGGGCTGGGCTAGGCTGGGTCGAGTCGGGTTTATTAATTAAACTTAATTTTTGCTCAGTTTTTGAACAAGGCTTAATTACGTAATTAGTGCCTTGATTTTTGCTAAACGGTTTTGACTGGTTATCTCTCTAACGTTTATTTCCAGATTAATTAAACTTTGGCCGTTTTACTAGCTGTTTTGACTGGGTAAATTAACGTTTTAATTGACCGTTTTTGGCGTTAATCACGCTGGTGTTGGAACGGTTTTTTGCTACCGTTATACCATTGTTTTGCCTATAAAACATCATGTTATGTTCACTGTTTTTAAATAACAAAAAATCACAGAATTTTTCTAATCCCTTTTTTCTCTTACAAAATATTCGAGCAGTGTTCTTTATATTTTTTGGTGGTTAGTTGTCCACTGGTTCTGTGCAAATCCACTGGTATTTTCCTTGCTTAGACAGACTGTTTTATCCTGGGGAACATCCGGTTGTTGTACGAGCTGCTTGCACAAATTAAAGGGCAGTACCGTGAATGTTCTAAAGAGAGCGACATAGTCCGCGACTCAGTCTAATTCCCGGTAACTTTGTTCTGTTTTTATTGTTTACAGCAGTTCGGTTTATAACATGCCCTCATAAAGATAACCAAGATACATTAACTGTATAATTAGATAAAGTATTATAATTTTATTATTTTTATGATAAAATAAAAAATTATGGAGAGGAAGGGACAAATATTAAGATATCATCATGGAAATTTGAAAGTAGAACCATTAAATACTTATATTTAATTATCTATGAGATCGAGAGATAGCTCACGTGATCAGAGCTTCTCTCTGTCCATCATTTGGCCTTGTAGCTCTCATGCTGTTGTTTTCTACCGGTCCTTGAACCCTAGACCTGTGGTTTTAAGAATCTTGAAAGCCACCACTAGAGCCAAAGAGGACTAATGGCCTTGCAGCTCTCTAGACCACCCCCCCCCCCCAAAAAAAAAAAAAAAAAACAAAAACAAAAACA